AAATGGGGTTTGTTTTACGACAAACTTTTCTAGTTTTGAGCCTTCTTGAGACCCCATTCACCGCACTTACGATTTCAGTACGACAGCATTCTTCCCCACTGTTAACTCACACGACAAGGTAGACATGAAATTTTACCTTTAATCAACGCCTGTGGTCAAGACTTGCATCATTTCAATGATATGCTACGTCCTTTTAGGAGCTGGATCAAGGTGAAATTATATGCCGAAAGTTTTTCTAAATAAAAGCTTTACGAACCGCCGGCACCATATCATCACTTATTCCAAGCTAAAGATATGTGATTGATGATAAATGGATGTAAGATAAATGGATGGATACGGGACGGACGGATATATACACGGATGGATGAATTGATGAATGGGTAGATAAAGGATGGATAGATGGTTGGACGGGTACGGAATGGATGAATGGACAGATAGAGCGGTGTGTCACGTATGAGTTGTCACTTTGGAAGAATAACCAGAGGTTCGGCGGCGTAAAATGCAGTGCTACTATTGCAAATATAACTCTCCCTGATTATCCAGTCCCGTAGAAATTCTTCTGCAGCTCTCTCACTACTAGTGTGCCTAAATTGACTACTCAGTGGCATCATACAACCGAGGCGGATGTTTCTCTTCACTAACAGCCATCAATTTTGCCTTCTGTAGATGTCTTTCCCATTCGGAAGCGTGGAAAGCACTTGGAAATTCCTCACAATAGGTTAACATTGACAAACATCATACGGAACGTACTGTATTGAGAGATGATGAGAGAAGAGAAACAAAATATTACCGCATTAGTTTACAATCCACAGAAAACACACATTGGCCATCTGCAAGTGTGGTGAATACATTTAACATGTTTGAATAGAGACAGCAGTATGTCGATGCAAAACGAAGCATCTTGATAAGGATTTGAATACCCAGAATAAGTATTCCTGTCAATGGAATTCTGTACTTTAAGGAGATATTTTGATCAAATTACTGGCGAAGTAGTTACTCAATCAATTTCATTATCTTGACTTAGTCGCTTTAAATTAAGTCAAACCGAGTCAAATCAGATCAATTCAAGTCAAAATCAAATCAAATTTGCCCTATAATTTTAATAAATGGATGTACAGAATACCTATTACTATACACACTTATTGGACGACAAACCCACTGTCACCCCTACTGCAGCCACTAGTCTATCAAACCACATCAACAACAAGACCGCCTTCTCTCACGCACCCATCACCTCCACCGCCACCACATGTTACGCAGTCAACACAGAAGCCAACTGCAGCCACAAATGACATCCCATGCTCTTGCGAAGACAATGGGCACACCATGCAAGTCAAACACAGGGTAACGCTTCTGTAACTTTGCCTGACCCAAAACTCTATCCTGTAATCAATAGGCACCATAGAAGTGGACTTCAGTGAACACTTTGCTGTTTCCATAGTTAGAGGCCTATCCCCCAACTATAGCATAATTGCATAAATTATTAGAGCCTCTTCAAAATAAGCCACTCCTTTTGGTTTCCACATAGGCAGCATCATGTAGAAGCATGCTTCACCGGCACATCCGTTTGGGTGATTGGGTGAGAGGGAAGGGAGTACAGCCTGAATGCTTCCAGTGGTGCCACTATGCAATCATATCATCCCTTTCTTTTCTGCAAAACCACTAAAATGAGGAGAAAACTATACACAAAACTAAAAACTGAAATTAATTTAAAAACTTGAGCCAAAGCATGCACGGTGATGGGTAGATGCGTAGAAGATAGCAAAAATAGTCGTGGAAGGAGTAAATTATTTGCATAAGTGCCAACACTAGGAGGAGAAAGACATCTGTTTTGGAACTAATAAACAGACATTTTACTCCATCGACTGAACCGTTTGTCTTAGCAAATGTGCAGACTGTAAAGATTCAAAATAACTGGACTAGCAAAAACGCACCGAAGTTGAGGCAATACTCCCAATCTCACGTTTATCATTTTGATTACCACTGGAGGGAAAACCATATCGAAAGAGCTCAAATTGTTGGGTACTGCGGTAGCTTATAGACATTCCGTTAAACAAACAAATATTCAAGTGTGTTTCAAAGCATGGTCAGAGGAATCGAGAAAAGTTGGAGAAAGGAAATGAAGATCAAAAGGGAAGCAGATTTAAAGGGAATCTTTTAACTTTATGCAGACGCCTCTACAAAATACACCTAACATATAGGTGTTACGTTTGGAATACTCCTAAAAGCCTGATACGAGTTAGTAAGTAAACCCTCTCTGCGCGGTGCCCAAAGTGGATGTGGCCAATTAATCCACCGTTCCACTAAATCGGGAAGGCTTCCTGCTCGGATATCACATAATCTTCGTTTGGAGGAATCCAGAGTGGAAGGACAACGCATGAATTATTTCAACTCGTCTAAGGTGACAATTGTGGATTACTGGTGCGGATCGACAAATAAATCCTACTTTACTCGGGGGAAAATACTACAAACGCAATCCACCACTGCACACACTCTCATAACGAGCGTGGAACTGGCGCTATGGATGGATGAGCAGATTACGATTAACAAAGATGAATATTCTCAAATTAAAAACAAATAAAAAATGATGAATAAGTCTGTGACAATCAATGACAATTGGCGAAGAAACCGTATACCTTCCACAAGATGCTTTGCTTTAGAGGGCAAAACCACTATTACACCCACGATCTTGTAACAAACATAAGATTTATCACGAGGTGCTACTTCTGATTATGAGTTTCCATGGAGAAACGGTAGTGCACACACCTGGTGGATCTCCTGAAAACCCTTTGAGTCCTCCACTCCAAGGATGGCGTGATCGTAGAGGAGGGCGTGCGTGCAGCGCGCGGATATATCCGTCGAGACTGCATAGTAGAGTGGAGTCAGGCCCCGCCAATCCCTGCAGTTGGGGTTCTGGCCAAGATCCAACAAGGTCTGCAGAGAAATATGCGTTTATTTATTAAACCCTGCAATTTGCAGATGGATTGATGGAAGGGGGAAGAAGTGGATGAAATAAGGGGTGAATGAATGGGTGGATAAGGGGTGTATGGCTCTAGCCTGGGGTGGAGCCATCCACCCTGGAGTGACTATCTTCTTTGGCCCCCTCGCCTGGAAATCGCAGTAACTGTGTTCACATTCACACCAAAAGTAGTTTATTATAGCTGGAATCTGCCCTATTTCATCAACAAAAATTATGCGACATTTGAGGCGTTTTTTTAGCAAAAATAAAGAAGTTTTGTTATTTGTGTTGTGCACAATTTTCCCATGCGACTGCTTTGTGCTGTGTGCTGCATCGAAGGAATTGCGTTACACGATTTCCAGGCTCAAGTGTGATTCACCACTGTGTCGGAGTCAATGAAAGCGAGAAAAAATCACCCAAAATTTTCGCATTTTAAAGGACAGAGGAGAAAAAACAGGCTTAAATATGTGTGCCAAGGGCATCTGAGCCAGTGAACAACGATGAAGTGGCGTCGATGGAGGCAGAGGAGTTCGCCAATATGTGCCATATTTAAAGCCAGATGATTTGTTGTTTAGAGCCTCCACAGCAAGAAAAGGTCGTGTCGCAGCCATTGAGGAAGCGAACGCAGTGAATGCTAATTTTCGTCATCTCCTATTGGTAATGAATTTTTGCTTACGCTTCAAATCCATTCTAAAATCCGTGGAGCATCTCTGTTTGGCTCAAAAACGACTAAAGAACTTCAGCAACTTGACAAGAGGTGTTGCGTGTAAATTGAGGCATATTTTGCATATTTCTTTTGGACAAAGCAACTCCTTATTCGGTGGAGGTGAGGGCTAAGCACTAGCAATGATCGAGGCTTTCAAGACAGCTGGATTCACGAGGTAGCGCCTAGATTTTGGCCAATTTCTCCTTCACATGATGAAGGCACTCTGAAGAGTAAAGAAATCTGCAGAATGAATTATGGTTGTCCAGCCAAATGAAGGCGAAGGTCAAGATGTCAGTGCTAAAGTTGTCGACAGCTGCGGCTGTCAAATCATCATTCATGAGTGATTGCCACTTTACTTTCCGTATCAGTGATTGGAAAAGAGACTTCAACTGATGGCATCCTTGTGATAAATTAGTAAACTCTGAAGATTAGCAAAGTCAGCTCCAGACTTCAGATTGTCTCCTTTTAAGGCTGCAAGGAACATTGGTGATGGAGCAAGTCGGCGATGGTAAAGATTAGCCCATGGTTCCACCAGTAGGCAATAAAACAATCAGCAAACTAATGGAAGCAAATATAGAAAATTTGCTGTTAGTGATTTGAGCGCTACAGAAACACGCGCTTTAAAGGGGGAAAAGCGGTGCGGAGTACGGAACTGGTCATAGAAAACGCCTTGATTAAGTTCGCACCCACCTCTTTTTTAATGACATACCTGTCAAATCTAGTGTAAATTTAATTTTGGACTTCAGGCCTTAATAGCCTCCAAAGTAAAAAACTACCTAGGCGATAGTAAGTGATGAACAATGTCAATTACATTGGCTCTCAAAGGCCAATTGATAGTGTGAGCAAAAGTTTGGCGCATGTAAACAGTTTTTGGGTAAAATTCTGCTGATTTACTGTACTCATAAATCTAACCTTGTACAAGGACTCGTAGCAGGACTTAAAAAGGAGACTAATCCGAGGTGGCAGGCTGTTCAACCAGAACACCAAGACAGAGCAGCTTGATGAGTTTTGCAGGAATAAAAAAGCACATCTTTTGTATGGAAAAGGGTATGCGTTAATTCAAAATATCCTCTATCTCATACAACATCGTCAAGTGATCTCAGTAGACGAGTGTCAATTACAGTCGACCGATAGGGAGAGAAGAATTCCCCAACGAGCAGTTAACATGAGTAAAAAAGGTACCGATTCTCCGTTACCTCCTCTGAGTTGCGTTAAACCTTTCTTGAAGGGTACAAAAACTTATTCCCCCCCTACTGGCTTTCCACCTCCAAATAATATGGACAAGTCACCTAGCCAGCAAAAGGACAAGACAGGTAAGAATGGGACGTCTTACCTGGATGGCCTCGTAGTTACCACAGATCGCAGCCCGATGCAGTGCGGTGTGTGAATCACGGGCTCGAAAATCGATGTGTGCACCTCCGTTGACCAGGGTGATGATCAGATCGCGAGGGTGGTAAGTCGTTACTGCAGCCGTGATAGGCGCTTCTATCGGTAGGACCAGAAAAACCGATATTCGGTGCATGACAATATCGATCTACATGAGCAGTCATTCCCAAAAGTTACTTCTTCTTTTGATGTATCGTCAGTATGAAAATATTTCTATGCTATTGGTTTATTTTAAAATAAAACAAGCAACCTTCCCCACCATGAAGCGACTCTAAGATCTTTCATCATGCCCATTTAGTCGCCTCGCGCAGACCTTTAAGCATTTTTAGGTAACTCTACAAATAAATACTTAGAAAATTAAACTTGTTGCTCAGAAATCACTCCATCTTTCGTTTAATAGGTTATGCAACTTTCATGATACCTTAACGCTATTTTTTACACCCTGGTTTTAATGTCTCACCTAGGTTAACACCTTGCTACTAGAAACCGAATGTGACAATACTACTTTAGAATTCAAAAGATGGACAAATCATTTACGGATGTCTTGAAAAGTGTCATTTGAAAACTAAGTTGCCCTAAAAATGCGTCTCTTGAGCGCTATTTAGAAGTCTCGCATTTAACAACTGCATGCAAAAGTGTAGGCTTGGCACGCCTTCCAAAATACTGGAGGGCTAAGCCTTGACCAAGATCCTTGACAAGCACAATTATTAAATGAGTGCTCCAACCTACTTGTTCTTGGTGGTGCTTGCTGACAAGTTGGTGAAATCCAAACGCAGCAGACCTCATGTTACAATTACCTCCCCCTTTTCTAAATTTATTTGTTGGCAAAATGCACAAATTTCCCCCAAAAGTGTTTTAACATAATTATACAAGTGCATAATTGAATCGCTTCTCTTTTTACATTGCCTTTTAAAGGTCCTCATGAGGGATGTACTTTAATCAACAGGCTTGCGAACTGATTGGCTGTGGCAAAGCCAATGAAAACACTGAACCTTAATGCAACCACCAATCAGCGCTAGAGTAGGATGATTATATACCATTGTTAAAGGCATACTTTCAGAGGTATGCAAGCTCCTCCCAACGCCATGTTCAACCTCCTCTTGTCTCTTTTAGTGATGAAAAATAGGAAGATTTTATCTTACCCCCATCTTTTCGAGACCAGAAATTGGGATCAAATCCTTTGGCAAGCAGCTTTTCAATACCTTTGACATCCTGATTTCGTACCATATCCATAAAATGACTTTGGGTTACCTGAGAAAGATTAAGGCATGCATGTCAAGAGTGTATCTGCCTAATTGGATTACGTGGGGTAATTCTCTTTACTGGAAAAGAAAGTAATTTCCCAGGGAACATAATTGAGTCATTTGAAATGGGAGGGCAAGCAATCTGTTAAAGCTCTTACTTATGCAGAGAAAATTTAGTGGGGTCGATTAATCTGCTAAGAGCATTTTTCTTTTGCGGAAGGAATTTGCTCAGTACTGCTGAGAAGTTTTAGCAATCCCTTTATAAGGGGAAAATGTTTAGATTAAAGAAAAGGTAATAGTGAGCCCCTTTACTACCTAAAACATTGTGGTGATGGCTGAGAGTAGAAAAAAAGGATTAAATTTACATTTTGATTTGACTTAAATTAGGTCATAACCTGATCAGAGCATTGATCAATCAACTTTTTTGGTCTATGGTGAAAAATGAAGAACCAGCTGCCGAATTAGGAAAAGACATGTCAGGACATCATTAGGTTGGCTCCCCCAAGGACTGCGATAACATTTGGGGGTCCGGAAACAATCATTCACTTTTTTCAGTAGATATTCAACGACAATTTTGGCGAAATATAGAAAAAATAGTTCTTCAAATATATTCTTATCGAAAATAAATCAGAAGGTTTGGCATTTTAAGGTGATTTTAAGTAATAAAAAAATAAAACACTATAAGCCTTAACACCCAAGTAAATATAAATTTAAATAATATCCATTTTTAAATTACAAATTAGCAAATTTTTATGTTTTTAAACAAATGCAAGTAGAAAACATTACCTTTGTTTTCAATTTTCGAATTCGGGATTGATGAGGCGAATCCTCTGCGTCCATTCGAGATTTGTAAATGAGCTAAAAAGATTGTTCAAGGACTTCAACAGTGGACAGGCATCAGGATTGAAGAGATTCCTGATTAAACTACATAAGCTAACCAATTTGTGGGTTCTCTGTCCTTTTGTTGTTAATACTCTCCATACCTTTATTACGCCTCCATCTGAAAGGATAGACGAGTCTCTGCGATGCCACATGACGTCCTTTTGAGGTAAAAAAGCCATATCGCAACCACTACAATCCAGCTTTTGTTGGACAATTAACCTGTTGCGATGATCAAGTCGCTTGGGCATTGTGACTACTTTAATCCCACCCAACGTTCAAGGTGGAGAATGGGAAAGTTCCTTCGTCATTAACAAGAGTTGAGACAATTGAGGATTGAAAGAGACAAATCCAAGCACAAATTGACCATTGAATGCGATGTCGGTATGGAAGTGGTGGATGAGATAAATGAGTCAAAAGTACACGAATTTGGTGGAGCTGGGCCCTTAGGACTTCACACTTGGCAAGGACAATGTCATTTGACATGGATGTCAGCAAAATATGGCAACTCTTCAGCGTCTCCAGTTTTCGCAGTGTCACGGCAGTTAGGAAGTTGCAAATGAGATTGGAATACAATACGCGTCCAGCACAGTGGTCCGTAGGGCGGTAGGGTGTCAAAAGAATTTTCTCCAGACGCGAAGTCAATCTTTTAAACGCCCACACGTTGAGAGGTTGCAGAAATTTTCTTGATTTGTACATTAAAAGTGAGTTTGTTTATTCGTGAGATTAGTTCTTGGCAAAGCAGCTAATTTTCACCTTATCCGTTTTGCATGCGTATTTATTGATGAGAGGAATCAAGAGTTCTACCGTGCCCTATTTCCTTTCACTTTTTCCCATCTACTTGTAACTTAGGCGATGATTTACGGATTAATTCTCAACGAAAAGGGTGGATGGTAAGCAAT